CTATCTTGTCTCTCATGTCTCTCTTGTCTCTCATGTCTCTCATGTCTCTCATGTCTCTCTTGTCTCTCATGTCTCTCTTGTCTCTCATGTCTCTCTTGTCTCTCTTGTCTCTCATGTCTCTCTTGTCTCTCATGTCTCTCTTGTCTCTCATGTCTCTCTTGTCTCTCATGTCTCTCTTGTCTCTCATGTCTCTCTTGTCTCTCATGTCTCTCTTGTCTCTCATGTCTCTCTTGTCTCTCTTGTCTCTCATGTCTCTCTTGTCTCTCATGTCTCTCTTGTCTCTCATGTCTCTCTTGTCTCTCATGTTTCTCTTGTCTCTCATGTCTCTCTTGTCTCTCATGTCTCTCTTGTCTCTCATATCTCTCTTGTCTCTCATGTCTCTCTTGTCTCTCATGTCTCTCTTGTCTCTCATGTCTCTCATGTCTCTCTTGTCTCTCATGTCTCTCTTGTCTCTCATGTCTCTCTTGTCTCTCATGTCTCTCTTGTCTCTCATGTCTCTCTTGTCTCTCATGTCTATCTTGTCTCTCATGTCTCTCTTGTCTCTCATGTCTCTCATGTCTCTCATGTCTCTCTTGTCTCTCATGTCTCTCTTGTCTCTCATGTCTCTCTTGTCTCTCTTGTCTCTCTTGTCTCTCATGTCTCTCATGTCTCTCATGTCTCTCTTGTCTCTCATGTCTCTCATGTCTCTCTTGTCTCTCATGTCTCTCTTGTCTCTCATGTCTCTCTTGTCTCTCATGTCTCTCTTGTCTCTCATGTCTCTCTTGTCTCTCATGTCTTGTCTCTCATGTCTCTCTTGTCTCTCATGTCTCTCTTGTCTCTCATGTCTCTCTTGTCTCTCATGTCTCTCTTGTCTCTCATGTCTCTCTTGTCTCTCATGTCTCTCTTGTCTCTCATGTCTCTCATGTCTCTCATGTCTCTCTTGTCTCTCATGTCTCTCTTGTCTCTCATGTCTCTCTTGTCTCTCTTGTCTCTCATGTCTCTCTTGTCTCTCATGTCTCTCTTGTCTCTCATGTCTCTCTTGTCTCTCTTGTCTCTCATGTCTCTCTTGTCTCTCATGTCTCTCATGTCTCTCTTGTCTCTCATGTCTCTCTTGTCTCTCATGTCTCTCTTGTCTCTCATGTCTCTCTTGTCTCTCATGTCTCTCTTGTCTCTCATGTCTATCTTGTCTCTCATGTCTCTCTTGTCTCTCATGTCTCTCATGTCTCTCATGTCTCTCTTGTCTCTCATGTCTCTCTTGTCTCTCATGTCTCTCTTGTCTCTCTTGTCTCTCTTGTCTCTCATGTCTCTCATGTCTCTCATGTCTCTCTTGTCTCTCATGTCTCTCATGTCTCTCATGTCTCTCATGTCTCTCTTGTCTCTCATGTCTCTCTTGTCTCTCATGTCTCTCTTGTCTCTCTTGTCTCTCATGTCTCTCTTGTCTCTCATGTCTCTCATGTCTCTCATGTCTCTCTTGTCTCTCATGTCTCTCATGTCTCTCTTGTCTCTCATGTCTCTCATGTCTCTCATGTCTCTCTTGTCTCTCATGTCTCTCTTGTCTCTCATGTCTCTCATGTCTCTCATGTCTCTCTTGTCTCTCATGTCTCTCTTGTCTCTCATGTCTCTCATGTCTCTCTTGTCTCTCATGTCTCTCTTGTCTCTCATGTCTCTCTTGTCTCTCATGTCTCTCTTGTCTCTCATGTCTCTCTTGTCTCTCATGTCTATCTTGTCTCTCATGTCTCTCTTGTCTCTCTTGTCTCTCATGTCTCTCTTGTCTCTCATGTCTCTCTTGTCTCTCTTGTCTCTCATGTCTCTCATGTCTCTCATGTCTCTCTTGTCTCTCATGTCTCTCTTGTCTCTCATGTCTCTCTTGTCTCTCTTGTCTCTCATGTCTCTCTTGTCTCTCATGTCTCTCATGTCTCTCATGTCTCTCTTGTCTCTCATGTCTCTCATGTCTCTCTTGTCTCTCATGTCTCTCATGTCTCTCATGTCTCTCTTGTCTCTCATGTCTCTCTTGTCTCTCATGTCTCTCATGTCTCTCATGTCTCTCTTGTCTCTCATGTCTCTCTTGTCTCTCATGTCTCTCATGTCTCTCTTGTCTCTCATGTCTCTCTTGTCTCTCATGTCTCTCTTGTCTCTCATGTCTCTCTTGTCTCTCATGTCTCTCTTGTCTCTCATGTCTATCTTGTCTCTCATGTCTCTCTTGTCTCTCATGTCTCTCATGTCTCTCATGTCTCTCTTGTCTCTCATGTCTCTCTTGTCTCTCATGTCTCTCTTGTCTCTCTTGTCTCTCTTGTCTCTCATGTCTCTCATGTCTCTCATGTCTCTCTTGTCTCTCATGTCTCTCATGTCTCTCATGTCTCTCATGTCTCTCTTGTCTCTCATGTCTCTCTTGTCTCTCATGTCTCTCTTGTCTCTCTTGTCTCTCATGTCTCTCTTGTCTCGCATGTCTCTCTTGTCTCTCATGTCTCTCTTGTCTCTCATGTCTCTCTTGTCTCTCTTGTCTCTCATGTCTCTCTTGTCTCTCATGTCTCTCTTGTCTCTCATGTCTCTCTTGTCTCTCATGTCTCTCATGTCTCTCATGTCTCTCTTGTCTCTCATGTCTCTCATGTCTCTCATGTCTCTCTTGTCTCTCATGTCTCTCATGTCTCTCTTGTCTCTCATGTCTCTCATGTCTCTCATGTCTCTCTTGTCTCTCTTGTCTCTCATGTCTCTCTTGTCTCTCATGTCTCTCTTGTCTCTCATGTCTCTCTTGTCTCTCTTGTCTCTCATGTCTCTCTTGTCTCTCATGTCTCTCATGTCTCTCATGTCTCTCTTGTCTCTCTTGTCTCTCATGTCTCTCTTGTCTCTCATGTCTCTCTTGTCTCTCATGTCTCTCATGTCTCTCATGTCTCTCTTGTCTCTCTTGTCTCTCTTGTCTCTCTTGTCTCTCATGTCTCTCTTGTCTCTCATGTCTCTCTTGTCTCTCATGTCTCTCTTGTCTCTCATGTCTCTCATGTCTCTCATGTCTCTCTTGTCTCTCATGTCTCTCTTGTCTCTCATGTCTCTCTTGTCTCTCATGTCTCTCTTGTCTCTCATGTCTCTCATGTCTCTCATGTCTCTCTTGTCTCTCATGTCTCTCATGTCTCTCATGTCTCTCTTGTCTCTCATGTCTCTCATGTCTCTCATGTCTCTCTTGTCTCTCATGTCTCTCATGTCTCTCATGTCTCTCTTGTCTCTCATGTCTCTCATGTCTCTCATGTCTCTCATGTCTCTCATGTCTCTCTTGTCTCTCATGTCTCTCATGTCTCTCATGTCTCTCTTGTCTCTCATGTCTCTCATGTCTCTCATGTCTCTCTTGTCTCTCATGTCTCTCATGTCTCTCATGTCTCTCATGTCTCTCATGTCTCTCTTGTCTCTCATGTCTCTCATGTCTCTCATGTCTCTCTGTCTCTCTTGTCTCTCATGTCTCTCTTGTCTCTCATGTCTCTCTTGTCTCTCATGTCTCTCTTGTCTCTCATGTCTCTCTTGTCTCTCATGTCTCTCTTGTCTCTCTTGTCTCTCATGTCTCTCTTGTCTCTCATGTCTCTCTTGTCTCTCATGTCTCTCTTGTCTCTCATGTCTCTCTTGTCTCTCATGTCTCTCTTGTCTCTCATGTCTCTCTTGTCTCTCATGTCTCTCTTGTCTCTCATGTCTCTCTTGTCTCTCATGTCTCTCTTGTCTCTCATGTCTCTCATGTCTCTCATGTCTCTCTTGTCTCTCATGTCTCTCATGTCTCTCATGTCTCTCTTGTCTCTCATGTCTCTCATGTCTCTCATGTCTCTCTTGTCTCTCATGTCTCTCATGTCTCTCATGTCTCTCTTGTCTCTCATGTCTCTCATGTCTCTCATGTCTCTCTTGTCTCTCATGTCTCTCATGTCTCTCATGTCTCTCATGTCTCTCATGTCTCTCTTGTCTCTCATGTCTCTCATGTCTCTCATGTCTCTCTTGTCTCTCATGTCTCTCATGTCTCTCATGTCTCTCTTGTCTCTCATGTCTCTCATGTCTCTCATGTCTCTCATGTCTCTCATGTCTCTCTTGTCTCTCATGTCTCTCTTGTCTCTCATGTCTCTCATGTCTCTCATGTCTCTCTTGTCTCTCATGTCTCTCATGTCTCTCATGTCTCTCTTGTCTCTCATGTCTCTCATGTCTCTCATGTCTCTCATGTCTCTCATGTCTCTCTTGTCTCTCATGTCTCTCTTGTCTCTCATGTCTCTCATGTCTCTCTTGTCTCTCATGTCTCTCTTGTCTCTCTTGTCTCTCATGTCTCTCTTGTCTCTCATGTCTCTCTTGTCTCTCATGTCTCTCTTGTCTCTCATGTCTCTCTTGTCTCTCATGTCTCTCTTGTCTCTCATGTCTCTCTTGTCTCTCATGTCTCTCTTGTCTCTCATGTCTCTCTTGTCTCTCATGTCTCTCTTGTCTCTCATGTCTCTCATGTCTCTCATGTCTCTCATGTCTCTCTTGTCTCTCATGTCTCTCATGTCTCTCATGTCTCTCTTGTCTCTCATGTCTCTCATGTCTCTCATGTCTCTCTTGTCTCTCATGTCTCTCATGTCTCTCATGTCTCTCTTGTCTCTCATGTCTCTCATGTCTCTCATGTCTCTCATGTCTCTCATGTCTCTCTTGTCTCTCATGTCTCTCATGTCTCTCATGTCTCTCTTGTCTCTCATGTCTCTCATGTCTCTCATGTCTCTCTTGTCTCTCATGTCTCTCATGTCTCTCATGTCTCTCATGTCTCTCATGTCTCTCTTGTCTCTCATGTCTCTCTTGTCTCTCATGTCTCTCATGTCTCTCATGTCTCTCTTGTCTCTCATGTCTCTCATGTCTCTCATGTCTCTCTTGTCTCTCATGTCTCTCATGTCTCTCATGTCTCTCATGTCTCTCATGTCTCTCTTGTCTCTCATGTCTCTCTTGTCTCTCATGTCTCTCATGTCTCTCTTGTCTCTCATGTGCCTCCTGTGTGCCACATGCCACCTATCCTGTATGCCCATGCAATGCAAGCACAGGGGGGTGAGAATATTCCTACATGACGAGTACAGCACGTCACAAGATGCTCTCGATCTCATGATCCAATCGTAAGCTGCCACCTCAGCATCCTGCACCTGCTGCTGTTTCCTAGTCGTGGTAACAAGACATCTGCGTGTCACCTGTGTGAAGTGCTAACCTTCTTTGCTCTTCTCCTTTCACCTCTTCTCATCTCGCCTTCTCTCTCCGCCACCGCTCATCACATCAGTGGTCGTGGCAGGAAGGACCGGCAAGAGATGCTCGATGCCTTTGCTGCTGCTGTGAGTGCTCCTCCTCAGCTCCTCAGAACGAAGCTTAATAGGTTAACACACGTGTGACGAGATTCTTGCACACATTTAAACGGCATGTTTGTTTGTTCGCTTGTTCTCCCCACTTCACGCCTCTCAACCCATCCTCCGCGCCTCACACACTCGCCTCACACACTCGCCTCACACACTCGCCTCACACACTCGCCTCACACACTCGCCTCACACACTCGCCTCACACACTCGCCTCACACACTCGCCTCACACACTCGCCTCACACACTCGCCTCACACACTCGCCTCACACACTCGCCTCACACACTCGCCTCACACACTCGTCTCACACACTCGCCTCACACACTCGCCTCACACACTCGCCTCACACACTCGTCTCACACACTCGTCTCACAAAGTTCGTAACCTCCTTGGCCTCAACACACCGCGCACCCCCCCTCCCCCCCACCCGGCCCTCCTCCCAGGTTCTGCTGCGGTCCTACTTCGAGTCCCAGGGTGTCAACGCCACTGCAGTGCTGCCCAAGAGTAAACTGCTCCAACAGAAGCTCTGCTCCCGCCAACACTCTCCCGATGCCACCGCGCAAGAAGCCTCTGATGCGTCTGAAGCCTCTGCCCTGGAGACACCTCAAGGCTCTTCCGCAGTTAAAGCTTCTGCTGGAGACGCGACTGTGTCTGCAATGTCAGCAGCAGAGCAAGGGCGCCATACAGTCACACCGCACAGAGTCACGTTGAGCAAGAAGGGAGCTTCACGGAGCAGCAAGGCATCATCGATTGACAGTGTGCCGGGAGCTGCGGGGCTTAGAGCACGGTGCAGAGGCAGTGGCGAGAGGAAAAGGCCTGCTGTTGTTAGTAAGCCTCTCGCTACTAGGCAGGCTGTGAAGAGTAGAGATGCCTATGATGAGGATGATGATGACGATGACAGCCTATTTGACGGTGACTGGGAGGCTGCTTTCAAGCTCAAGTAATAACTGCCCACTCTCCTCCTTGCGGGCTTCAATTGGTTTCATTTATTGCCCTACCTGAGGTAGGAAGGCCTTCTTTTCACTCTTACCTTGAGCATTGAGCATGGGCCATGAAAACGACTGGCTCATACACACGGTCGTAGCAGCACAGCAGTCCATCCAAATACAGTCCATTACAGAGGACACGTACCGGGGGATGGAATAGTTCCTCCCGCCTAATCAATGAATGAAATTGCCTTTATGTCAGCCCACAATGTCAATACCTACGTACCTAACTACACCTACCAGTACAGCCGGTAGTATCACTCACTACACCACTAGCGCAAACGAGCACATGGTAAGGCAGGCAAGCTAAGGAGGCATTTTTTTCATTCTCAGGGACTAAAACACTGCCGCGAACAAGACTACCGGTATATGGTGGTAACCACCCTCACTCCTTGCTCAGTTCACAGGGGGAAGCGTGTCCATGGGGGGAAGGCCCATCCCCCCCACGCCTCCACCCATGCCCCCCACCACCCCCATGGGTCCCCCCATCTGCCCCGGCCGCTGCGCCGCATGCATGGGAGATGAAGTCCCGTGGAGCGGCGAGGGGGATGACGAGTGCAGCGCCCCTGCTCCTCCCCCCCCATGCATCCCCACCCCACCTCCCCCCGGCCCCCCATGTACGGGGTTCCCTCCCCCACCATGCAGCGCCTGGGGGGGGGCAGGGGGACCCCCTCCCACTCCCCCTCCCCCTGCCCCACCTCCGCCCCCCTGGTGCAGCGGCGGGCCGACGTTGATAAGGAGCTGTGCAAGCCATCGGCGCGTGGTGACGTCGTCCCGCAGACACGCCGAGAAGGTGGCGTCTCGCAGGAGATCGGGCAGGCAGGTGCGCAGGGCCTCGCCCGCGCGGGGGTTGTCGGAGAGGCGCAGGTAGCAGCGGATGATGTGCTTCAGGAGACGGACCGATGGGTGCTCTGCTAGTAGCTGCACCATGTTGCCCAGGACTGCACTCACCTGGGGGGGAAAGGGGGGGAAAGAGAGGGAAGGGAACAGGTAGGTGGGGCGGATGTGAAGTGCAGCACCATGAGGCTCAGGTAGCAGCGGATGATGTGCTTCCGGAGGCGCACTGACGGGTGCTCTGCTAGTAGTTGGACGCCCAGGACCGCACTCACCTGGGGGGATAAATCCAGGTGGGGAGGAGGAGAGGGGAATAAGAAGGCAAACAGGGAGACATGGAGAGGTAAAGGGCGGCACAGGTAGCATCGGGTGTTGTTTCAAGGTTAAAGTGACTCACCATGTCCTGCTAGAAGCTTCACCATGCACCTTGCCCCCTTACCCTCCTACCTCACAAAACAGCTCTGCACTGCACTGCACCACACGTGCCACAGCAGCAACACAGTTACACACCCCAGCAGCACTACACTCACGGCAAAGAATCTCTCGGCAGTGGCGCAGATGTAGGCGAGCCCCACGTCGTCCTGCAGAATCTTCTGCACTATGAACCCATGCCCGCTGCCCGCCCTATACCCCTGGACCTCCTACTGCACAGAACCGCTCTCCACCACCCCACATGCCCCAGGAACACCGCATCTAAGGCAGCACTGCACTCACAGCAAAGAATCTCTCAGCAGTGGCGCAGATATACGCCAGCCCCACATCGTCCAGCAGGATCTTCTGCACTATGAACGTGGCCACTGTCTTGGAGAGTTCCGACCCCATCTCCATGGTTCGCAGACACAGGGGGATGATCTCCGTTGAGAGCAGGAAGTTGACCACGTCTGTGTCGTCCACCTGAGAGGAGGGGGGAGAGAACCAATGGACAGCAACAGTTCTGTCTTGGAGAGCTCCGACCCCATCTCCATGATTCGCAGATACAGGGGGATGATTTCTGTTGAGAGCAGGAAGTTGACCACGTCTGTGTCGTCCACCTGAGAGGAGGGGGGAGAGCACCAATGGGGCAGCAACAGTTTCGTTAAAAAGCTCGGACTTCATCTCCTTGGTGTGCGTGCAGGCTAAGGCAAATGATCCACGACTGTGTCGTCCACCAGCAGTGAGCACAACAACAAGGATGAGGGATGAGTGGTGCTGAGCGGTCAACAGGAATGGTTCGCGGTGGGCAGGCCAAAGTGGAGATGGGTGCACGATGAATGAGCACGTGAGCAGCACTCCCACAGAGGGCTGTCAAGATGGCGGACCGCCTACAACCAATGAACTCTAACAGCTGGTTTGGGGCTGTTGATTTAAAATGGTTTGACCTAAAATGGTGATTTCCAGTGACTGACCTTGACAAGCGCGCCAATGACGCCCAGGGAGGTGAGGCGCAGGTACTCAAAGGGGCGCGTCTTGCTGACCGTGTTCAGGAACGGGTACAGGTACAGCGGTATGTGCGCTGGTGGGGGGGAGACGGGCGGGGGGGGAGGAGGAGAGCAGAGGGGATGGGATGGCTGGTTTAGCGACCGTGTTCAGAAAGGGGTACAGGTACAGCGGGATGTGCGCTGGTGGGGGGTAAGAGGGTGGAGGGGGGGGAACAGAGGGCATGGGGAGGTTGGTGTTGCTGACTGACTGTGTTCAGGAACGGGTACAGGTACAGCGGGGTGTGCGCTGGTGTGGGGGGAAGAAGGGAGGAACAGGGTGGGAGTGGGAGGGCGGAAGGAGGCTTAGGGTCCGTGTTGAGGGTAGCGGTACTGGAGCATGTGCGCTGGTGATGAGGAAATGGGTGGCGGAACAAGGTGCGCACAGTACAGGGAAGAGCACAGGGACGCGCGACACAGTGATGGGTGAAAGTGAGAGGGGGTTACCGTTGAGGAAGAGGACGCGCGTCTCAGGGTGCGAGGCGACGCACTGCAGCACGGCGAGCGCGTTGCACGCGCGGTTGGACGCGCCCGCTGTTAGCGTGGGCGGTGATAGCATGGGGTATATCGCCACTACCTCCTGTAGAACCGTGGTGATTGTACCGCAGCTGTGCCACAGAAGCAACGCGAGGTCGGGATACGCCTCCCGTCTCTGCCGCACACGACCACGCACACGAGCACGCAATCAGGAAACGCACGACGGCGCGTCAGAACACGGCGACCGTTGAGGCACCTCAAACGTCGCGAGGTGCGCGTTAGAACGATAGAACGCGGCGCTTATCCTCTCGCAACACCGACAAAGCTAGAATCGAAAGGCATTCTGCTGCTGTCCCACTAAGTGTCTCACTTTGCTAAGGTCCAGCAGCGCGTTCTCCCGCTGCTCGGGAATGCTAAGCTCCAGCACCAGCTGCTCCGGTGTAGCCATGGCTGCAGCCGCCGCGACTCACGGCGCCGCGAGGCAAGAAAACCTAGAGATGTCAGACCACTGAGTTCGAACGAAGCGAACGTGAGCTGGGAGAGACTGCGGGAGCCTATGAGTTCCCGATACAGGTATGCCCCGATATATGTATTAGTGGGAAGATTGGTCTCTGAAAAGACCTGGTAGGTGTTTTGGGAAAATCCTGAAATAACAGCTCCAGACGACGGCCTATCAGCAGCGAGAAGCTGCAGGTGGGAAGGACAGGAAAGTCACGGAGCCTCTAAAGTATGAACGAATAGTAAAAGGTAGGGGAACAGGACAGCGAGAGATGCTATCGAAGCGTTCGTAGCTGCACTATCTCGAAAGGAAGCTGCCTCACCAGACTGCGTGCGACTGAGATATACTCTGCTCGACGAGGTCGAGTCGCGGTTAAACAACTAAACGCGATGATCCACGGATTCGAGAGCGAAGGATTCCTGAATGATCGGAAGTCGTTGGAACGTTTTCCCCCTCTCCCATACACGCCGTCATTCTAGGCTAACCTTGGGCTACGTATCATTCCCTCCCGTCCGCAAAGTGCGGGACTCTCTCCCCAGCCTAAAATCTTCGCTCGGCGAAAGACTGCGTGAGTGAGGATATGTTGCCTCGAACCTAGAGAACGCCTGACGGGGATCTCCAACCCAACATTTTTATAACAAATTGTACTGCACATTTACAGGTACACCTATATTTTATTTCCAATCGTACATGCCTGGATTATGTAGGCATGCATGTTCCTAATTGTGCTGTACAAACCCAAATGGGGTCACTCTTCATCACTATCGTCGTATGCTAGACCAAGGAGACCAGGTCCTTGAGGTTCCGCTGTAACTGGTTTCGCTTCATGGTCTGTCGATGTGGCTTGCTTGGCTTCACATGATGGAGGAGAGCTTTTTGCGTCCTCTAGACTTGATGGGGTTGAGGAGATTGCTGAAGTACCCAGGCTGAACGGCTTGGCAGCTCCATGTGATGCTTGCCCGCTTTGTGCCGATGCTTCCCTTCCTTGGCTTGAGTCAAGCCGAGCCCGTTTTGGCTTCACTTCAACAATCGTTTTAAGGAGCGTTTTTTGCCTGCCACAAATAACACATCAGCAGAGAAGATCGATCAGAGAAATTACGAAACGAAAAAAAGAAAGAAATTGAAGAAGAACAGAAAAACGAGGACATGCAACGAAGTTGCGCCATCATCAAGTGTAGACAGGGGGGCAGTGTAACATGCTACCAGATCCAACAAAGAGTGTCACCACACCTGTTGGGGAGAGCTGCTTTAGGCGGTGCTGAGGGGGAGCTTGCAGGGCTAGCCAATGCTGGTGGCTGTGGGCTGTCACTCTTGGATGCAGCTGCGTGCATGGGCCAAGTCAACACAGAAAAATAGGTGGAAGCTATCAAGATAAAAAGCACAGGAGTGCAGACATGCGTGTGTGGAGTGGGGATGAGGATGACGGTTGGAAGGTGGAGGAGGAGGGGGAGGAGGAGGAGGAAGAGGAGGAGGGAGAGGAGGAGGAGGAGGAGGAGGAGGAGGAGGAGGAGGAGGAGGAGGAGGAGGAGGAGGAGGAGGAGGAGGAGGAGGAGGAGGTGGAGGAGGAGGAGGAAGGGGCAGGGTGGTCGAGAAAGATAGAGGCAATAACTCAGTGGCAGAAAGGGCAAGTGAAGGTGAGAGAGGAGCGTATCTTAAGAGCAGCGAAGGCCCTTTTCTCTGAGTGCTGCCTTAGC